AACTTTCTTTACGAGTTCGGTTATCATTAGAAATTATTTTCTTGATTTGGTTGTCGAAGCAGCGATGCGTACAACGGAAATAGCGGAATAGTCGCAGTAGATTGCCTTGTTAGACTCCGGAATAAGTCTGCAAAGATTAACAATCGTCAGAGGAAATGCATGAAATGAGATAAAGACAAGAATACGAATGCAGCATAATGGGAAATGCATGGAGATGGCGAGAAAAGTATGAAACTTAATTACTGTTATTCGAGAAATTCTTATTTGTGAATGAATATCAATGTTCAAACTTGCTAATACAAAAATAGATAGATAAAGAAGTTAAACGTGTATTTCATTAAACAGTATAATACAAAATCATCATGACATGTACACACATTTAGAAAAAAATTAATATTCAATCATAAGTGATTATTGTTTTAAAATATGGCTTAGTCATATTTAAATTAATTAATTATTCATAAGAGATATATAAATCTTTATGCTTTGTAAAAATTTAAAAAAGTAAAGATTTTTTGTTGCAAAAATAAAATAAAAATTATTATATTATATTGTTAAAATATATGAAAGAGATTCATTGTTTATTTTAATAAAATATCGCATTATCGCAGTGGAAACTTAGGCGACGCGGATCCTATTCGTTGAATGATTTTATTAGACGCATAATTTTCGCAGCACGAAAGAAACTGCCGCCTCATGCAATTCCCGTCCGCTCTCACGGTCGGACGACTGACAAGTAATCTGCAGTTTTCACTGACTCGCTAATGCCAGCACGATCTACGGTCGAATTTTCTTTTCTTGGATCTGACTCGCACACCCTTATGCACACTGGCGTATACGCGCAAATCTCAATCTCGTGGTGGAACTACAGCAATTTCAACATCGTCTGTAACCTTCCACCCGCTCAGAGTGTACAGGATGGCTATTGACGATAAGTAACAGAAGCAGTTCCAGGTTGCAAGCGCGGATTGCGAGGAGTAGATCGAATTTTTATAGGATATACGATATTTTCGCAATCACCGTTAATTCCAAAGTAAGCAGTGCACGGGAGATGAAAACGAAATGTAATATTTTCTAATTTTACAAAATTGCACACTGCGACCAACAATAGTAATAATAATTAGAAGCAATCTAATGCAATCTGCGACAAGAGATTTAATGTCGGAATTGCAAAAATTAAATGTTTTCATAATTTCCAGCAAAATAATAACATCTCTGTTGAATACTTTCTATTGAAGCTACGTACAAGAATATTTATTGCTCGCTCCAAACATTTGCCTTTATACAGAATTGCAGCGCGTGTTTACAGATTTTTTTTTAAAAAATCCATGTAGTTTTAAAGTGCAAGAGCGGAGCGTCCCTTCAGCGAATTGTGGCGGAATATAAAAGAATAGTATTTTTCTTTTCGCAGGTATGTACAACGGTTGTGTACACGTTAAATTACACACGTTAAATTATACGCGATTTAATATTAAAACATATGCGTAAATAGCATTTTATTTCATAATTTTCAAAACAGCATCAGATGGGCGAAAAATGTTTCTAATTTATGAAAATTTGAAAAATTTCCAAAAAATTGAAAAAACTTGACAAAACTTTCATACTCTCCTTATACCGTTGTGAATATTAATCATTAACATTTATTTAATACATATATTTGAAGATTATTTGTCTCTAAATAATGTCTATAATTTAAACTAATACATTATTTAGCGCAATACACTTAATCGATTGAGTTTATGTTATGTTTTTTCACTTAAATAACTTCGCGTTTAGCCGGTTTTAGCGTGTATCAAAATGCGGAATAGCGTAGGCAGTCGAATTCGCCATTAAAGAGAAAGCGATCGCATAATTTGCAATGCGGTCGGTCGTTATGAATTTTCTTTCCGTTGTATCTCATGGCGTTGTATCCCGTCGGCTACAAATTCCGTTCAAAGTGTCGGAGCATCGCATCGCGATGATATTTTACAAGCGGTAACGTAATGGACAGCCGCGTTCGCTGCTTCATTGCGCCAGAAAGAAGAAAAATCTCCGCAGCGCGCGAGCTGGAATCGCGGGTGTCGGGTAAATTACAGTTTCGCTGCCGTCGCGGATATATTTCCTGGTTTAACGGGCAAGTCCGCTTCAACCACTCCTTTTCAACGTAC